GTGCATTGATCTCATCACTCACACCCCCACCAGCACTTATGCAGCTACCCAGATACACGAACTTCTCAACTACGTCTATCTGCTCACCGTCCAGGGTGAGTACAGGATTACAATCCTGCCAGTCTTGTAGAAGTACTTTGCACTTCGAAGGTGCAAAGCACATACCATACCTACGGACATTGATTGCCAACTGATTAAGTGCGGATTGCATGCCTTGGGCATTATCGCACAGTAAGACAATATCGTCCGCATACTCAAGGTCGAGAAGTCTTTCTCCAGGCAACAGATCCACACCACCATTACTTACATTCATCAGAGCTGTTTCCAGAATGTCATCGATGGCAAAGTTGAAGAGGAATGGTGAGATTGGGCAACCCTGCCTAACCCCACTGCTCGAATGGAACAATGGAGAGAGGTGGTTGTATGCCCTCACTCTGCCTGAGGTGTTTTTATACAGGGCTTTTAGGATGTTAATAAACTTCTCAGGCACACCCTTCTTCAATAGACAATCCCAGAGAACAGTCCTATCCAACGAATCGAAGGCAGCCCTGATGTCAAGAAACACTACGATTGTTGGCCTTTGAAAAGTATGGCGGTGTTCTAACATTTGGCGGAGGGTGAAGATATGATCAATACATCCTCGACCAGAACGAAACCCAGCCTGCTCCTCGCGAGTCAATCTTTCTCGGGTTTTGAACAACCTACGAAGTATGACGGAAGCCAATAGCTTGGACGCAATCGGAAGTAAACTTATCCCCCGATAGTTGTTACAAGAACGACGTGAACCCTTTTTAAAGATAGGGACAACTATCGACTCATTCCATGACGTTGGTACACTCTCTAGTTCCCAAACCTTTGTAAACAACGTCGTCAATTCCTTAGTCAAAAAGTCACCACCATCTTTAAAAAGAGCCGGAGGTAAGTCATCTGGGCCAGGTGATTTGTAACGCTTCAAGAGTTGGAGTTCCTTGCGGACTTCCTCCTCATTTGGTGGATCAGTCATCACCGGCCATGGAGGGCAGGACAGTCTGACCGATGTTGCCGGAGCAGCAGGCCAGTTGAACTGCCCTTCGAAAAATTCTGCCCATCGTCCAAGACGTCGATGGATGTTAGTGATTGGCATCCCATCATCCTCGCAGATTGTTTCACTCACACCAGACTTCTTGCTGCCAGTGGCTCGGATGAGCTGGAAGAGCTTCCGGTAGTTACCAGATGCAGCTGCTGCTTCCAGCTCATTAGCACGCATCGACCACCAGGCTTCTCGGTCCTTACGCAAGCTTTGCCCGATTTCCTTACGTAACATCCTTCGTTTATGGTCAAACTCACGGTCACCCGGAGTAGACCGACGGGCTTCGATGAGTTGTAAGGAACCTGCAGAAACCCAGTGCTTAAAAGCGGGACGTTTCGCAAACCCACAACTGACTGTTCCCGCCATTTTCATGGCGCCATGCAATTGCAACCAATGCTCATCTATACTTTTCGGTGGAGTGGTAGCTAGCCTAGAGGCTAGCTCGGTTCAATACTTACTTGCAACAGAAGTTGCAACCAGCTTGCTAACATCAATCCGTTGATGGCGTTCACTTCGTTGTCCACTGAAAAGTAAGGCAAGATTGGCGCAGACCAAGGCATGGTCAGAGTCCAGATAGGTACTCCAAAAGGAGCGGCAGTCTTTTACACAACCACGCCAGCGGTAGCTGATCGCGATGTGATCAATCTGAGTCCAGGCTTGAGATGCAGAGGGAGGACGCCAGGTGGCACATCGGCGATGACTGTGCCGAAAGTTAGTGCTAGCCAGAAACAGGTTGTGGTCTGTGCAAAGTTGCAGTAGACGGTCCCCGTTATCTGACCTGCGACCAACGAGTCCCCATCGGCCACCTAAACGACTCTCTTCTGTGCCTAGACGCCCGACCTGAGCATTCAAGTCTCCGGCTAGTACTACAATATCTGTCGAACGCACTTTCTGGAGAAGAACTGATAACTGGTGGTAAAACTCATCCTTGATTGCATCCGGGCTGCAATCTGTCGGGGCATAGGCGGAGATGACGAAAAGACATCGTTTCTCACGCCGATTTCTTCTCACTTTGATGGAACTTTCTAATCTAACAGCACATAACCGACTGTTAATGGGGATCCAATCGACTAGTGCTGCCTCAGCTCTAGCGCTTAGTGCGACACCAACGCCAGCAAGACCAGACGAAGATGCCACAGGGTCCCCGGATAAGCGCACGTAAAACAAGCTTTTCGAAGCGACAGATGGAGATCGAATTTGTAGTACTTCGCCAGAGTCTTGAATACGGGTCTCGGATAGACAACACACGTCGATATTAAGACTTTCCAAAGACATAGCCAGCCCTATCTGTTGTCCGACCTGCATAAATGTGCGAACGTTGAAGGCAGCCAGTTTGAATGGTGCACGTGGCTTCAGAAAATCTGCTTCAGTCCTCGTATTCGGTGGTAACATACAATTTTCAACCGGACAGTGACTCGAGAACGTTTAGATACAGTCGGATTTCCACCAAAGACGAGCCGCTGTATAAGTATAAAAGAGGGTGAATAATGTGGAAAATAATAATAATAATGATAATAATAACAATAATGACAAAAATAGTAGTAATAATAATATTAGTATTAATAATGACAATAATTGTAATGATAATAATGTGAATCAATTGTTTGTTTTTCAAAGCGAGAAAGGTAATTTCCATAGGCATAAAGAGTTCATCAATTTGTGTGTGGGCTGTGATACTGCCCAGGTGCCCAAACCGAAGCAGGTGGTTATCTTAGGGGGCCACTCCCCGAGCCTTTGACCTAAAGGTCTAACCCACAAGGCAGTGGAGCATCGTAAGGAGATGCAGTCCCATGGTAGCCGGTGACCAACGATTGGTTCATACGCCATTCGTTCTCGCAGGATACTGGAGCCCATGTGCACCATCAGTTTGGAATCCGGTTAAAGCGCCGGACACTCGCTTTTCGTCCTCTCATTTTCGTAAACAACACCCCCGCCACGAGAAGGCAATGAGTAGGACTTCCCTGGCACAGGCTGTATACGCATGGCCGTGTGAGAGCATTTTGAGAGGGAGAGCGGACTCTCCCCACTCTCGGCCGTACCAGGGCATTCAGGGGGCATCATTGGTTCTAATTTATTTTTTCAACTATCTTTCAAATTAATAATCTTTCAACTGAACTCTACTCACTACATTCCTTCAATGTTATTCATCATGTAATCGATTGTTTCTAACCCACTTTTGAACGGTTGTCACAATTAATGTTGTAGAATATTCTTTCACATTAGGTATATATTTACAATATTCAGTTAGCAATTTAAATCCATTATGCAATTATGAATTTTAAATATCACAGGTTGTAAGCAGCTGACGAGAACCTACGAAATAAAATGAATTCATGCTATTCTGCTAGAATCTTTGTTCTTGCTCTTTTCAAAATCATCAAGCACATTGAAATTGATCCAACTTATCAATCAATCAGGAAAATTATGCAGAAATATAGTGACAAAGATCAAACCAATGGAAGACAACCAAAACAAAGAAGTAAACAACGACAAATTTAAGGTCAATAAGAACCAATCAACATCGAGGTGTACAGAACAAGCTGTGAAATGTATACAGAGAAATTCGAATACTTCACTTCTGTCTGAAGTTTGGTCTGGTGATGTCGTTCAGAAGAACGATGAAAGCTCCACGACCAAACCATCCAGCTTAGAGAACAAAACTCCATCAAAACTGATGTCTCTTTTTTTAGCATGACAGTCTCATGTTTTTAATCCCTTCTCGATAGAACACCCATCTAACCATAAATATACCTAAATCAGCAGACAGCCCACAATAGAATTTATCGGGAAAAGAAATTTATCTCCCTTTGTAAAACGAACTTTCATCTTATCTGTAAATATAATAATACGTATCTGTCGCGGTGAAAAACAAGATAGCGATCTATCAATGTTCCAAAAAGTCCTCGATAACTACCAAACTGATTGACCTCTAGTTGTTTGTTGTTCAACTTACTGTCAACTCAGTGTAGGTATACATCTCGACAGATTTGATGTGAACAATAAACAAAGAAATCAGCTATTTCGTTCCCGCAAAACCAACTTCGATAATGAAACATAATTATTTTGTGATCTGAAAAATCAAATTATCTAGTTATTTCAGTCAGTCAGCAACAACGTAGAACTTCGTACGTACGTACATCAGTTCGAGTTGCCATACCACATTAGAACAGAGATGGAGTTGTCCATTCAAATCTCGCAATGGTATAGGAACGTCTCAGTAAGTCATTACTTAGTCACCAAATTTTCTCGGCCTGAATTTATGTGGCTTCCAACTACAAATTAATGACAAACATACACACAGGTGTAAAAACCTACAACAACTGATTATCATTATAGGGGTTGTGGAGATTGTTAAGTTCGGTTCATTATCTCAATAAAAAAAATTGGTTAATTTGACCAGTGGTCGACTTTACTTGAAAATCTAACACTCTATAACGATTTTGAAAAACACCGAATCCCATAACTGAGCAGGGTTAATTAAGTTGTACGACATTACAATAGACAGCTGAGGTTTTGAGCCACAACTAAATATGACAGAATGGTAGTGGGGTAGACGAAAATGATTTGCGAATGAAGACGATAAACATCGAGAAATGACATGTGTTCTTTAAAGATTGAAATTATGTGTGTGTCACGACTCAAGAAGTTAGGTTTGAATGCGAAACAAGTATAAGATAAGCACTATCAAACAACTTTGAAGTAAGAAATCATATCTATTTGATGATCTCTAGTTCTTTTCATTGATAATAAACATTTATGAAGGAAATCTAGACGAAAAACAAGTGTATGGTTAAGTTTTTATTGAAAAATGTCATCTAGGAACGTTCGGTATTTATGGTAATTTGAATATATACATAAGTGCATAGTTTGTAACGTAAACTATAAGAAGAACAGGAACTCATAAAACAATGTCAACATCATGCCTAATTTATCAAACATCATAACGTTTAGTTTTTGACAATTTATCCCAAAATGTTTCCAGATTACGTGTAGGAAAACGACGATTGAATTGTTTAGCATATCGATCGTAGAAAATCATATCTTCCATTTGCAATTCACGCATCTGCATTTGAAAATACATAATTAAAGGTACAACATTTAAGATAATCAGAAAAGAAGCTAAGATTTAATAATGACATAACCTCTAACTTAAAAAGTGTAAGATTTTCAAACAGTAGTTACTGAACTGTTGCCTTAAACTATGTCCCAATAATTAAATAGATACCTGGGCTTTGACGTGCACTGTTGATGTTAAACATAATGGTACTAATCAGTCGCCTAAACTGAAATAGGCGCAACCAGGAATTTGAAGGGATCATTTTCCTCAATGTCACTTAATTATCTAAAAGTTTCTCAACTTTCATTTCCAATACTTAGTTGATTGATCGGTGGATAAGGACTTTTAGTCCTAACTGTGTATGATCGGAAAAGTTTCAGACGTGAAAATTGCAGAATCAGTAAACTAAAATTCAATTAATCAGGTGGGTATACAATGTCAAAACTAATACACCGTTTGTTATTGGGTTGTACACAACGAATGTTAACAAGTTTAAATTATAGATGACACCATACAGAATGAGTAGCATTAAAAAAAACAAATGAAATGATGGTGAAAATGGTAAACAAAAGTTCACATTTATGTGTCTTTTTAGAAATATGAGTGCCTATCACGTTCAACCAAGGTATAAAAGAAAATCCATCAACTGCGTTAGTTTTTTCCTACTTTTTGACTTACCTCCTCACTAGTACACTTATAATTTCGGAGCAACTTTAGAAAAATTCATTGAGTAACTTTGATTATCTATATTTAGACACAGAAAAAGCTTTCTATACAGCTTAATGAACGGAACTGTTCTATCCGTGGTCAATGTAGAAGTTGCACTAATTTTAACTGGCTTTCCGGTTAACAATACCCAATGGAAGTTATGTTAGAATTCATAATTACTTTTAGACTTAAAATATGTTTTCCCACTAAATACCTTAGAACTAAAAGAAAAATAAAGAGGAACTCACTTTCTCATCAGCTAGAGTGGCAGCTTCAACTTCTTCACTGAAATACGGTTTCTGAAGATACATATGGTTTTGGCGAGAAATAAGAAGCTCATCCAAAAACGCTTCTTTACGCGCATTAGTTAAACGGGGGATTTTCCGTTGTTTACCACCCCAAACACTGCCGGGCATTGATTTCCAGGGTATGAAACGTCCATAACGGACACTTGACAGAAGCATTCAAAGACTAGAATATTAACACAATTTAACGGAAATAGTGAGGTGACTTCTCATCTGATAAATAAATGGATATGAACACATGATATAAAGTAACCAATTCATCAGAAGTATTTGCGAAAGCGGATCAGATAAATCAAAACTATCGTGGTATACAACACTGAGTGTTTCATTTAAAACGAAAAATACTTGAAATTATTGTGACTGAAATTAGTGAAAACATGGACACAACCAAATCATTAACTATATATTGGCAACCACAACAGTCAAAGAGATGCTATGATGTTACCCCTCGCCTTTTATGCTTTTGGTTTTACCCACCTCTTATTCGAATTTCACGAACTCGCGTACTCTGTCGACTGAATTAGCCACGATCGTCAAGGCGATTACATACAGTTCATTGGAGTCTGTCTGTACGCAGAGTTGTGACAATTTGTTAAGCAAGTTCTGAACATTTTTGTAACGTGAAAACCATTTAAACGAATTCGTACTGCACCCAAACCGGCTTCGGAATTGTTCACTTTAGAAGCCCGAACTCCCTAAAATCCATCTTTTTGAGATCTTCATCACGGCATTTAATTTCAGCTGTATCACTGTTTCAGAATCTCAATTTTTTACACCACCTGTGAGCGATAAGTCTTTCGAGGCAGAAATCCATGATCCTTTTAGTTTATATTTATTCTGTTGCATTACACCCCTTTCATTTTCTTTGAAAAGCAAATTTTTTAATTATAGTTTACTCATAACTCACCAACTTATTGGTAACACGAGTATGTTATTGTGACATGAAAGATCAAAAGCTGCTTAGAGATTTAGCCTTCATTGGCTTCAACAAAGCTTTTGACAAAGTCTCATACAACGGGCTGTTATCCAAGTTGAATAATATTGGGACGAGCGGTAACTTTGTTTTATGGATAAATGATTTTATAGTTGGACACTAGCAACCGTATGGGTTTGTCCCAAGTTGTCTAGCTGTAAAAGTGTCTAGTTAAGTGCCTCAAGGTAGTTTCGCAGTCAGTGCATAAGAGGCTGGCTGAACCAAGCCTATTACTCTGTTGTAATACAAAAGGATGAGACATGACTTAAACACTATCTTTAATCTGCTTAATAATAATTTCCCATCTAAAGTACACATTCTCCCGTCTTACAGAAGAATTTAAGAGGACATTCCAATAAATTCCACAAGCTCATGACCAATTACTTGTCAGCTGACTACCAACTTTCACACCAAATAGTGAAACTCCTTGCTACAAAACGCTGTGAATGCATTAGAAGTGGGAAAAAGTGGGGGACCATTGTCAGGAACAACACAGGTTATCCAACCTTTCTAGCCGTACCAAACCTAGACTGAGTTTCTGGTTGACTTTAAAACCCATTCTTGGTGACCCGTACTTATTGGAGCGACAGAGCTAGATCAGTACTCATTTATATTTGATGTCGCCCAACCTTTAGTGATACGTCATGCTGACCATGTCACATTATGGGGAAAGGTAGTAGAGGATTCTGGCGGACGTGGGTTACCAAGTTTGAATTTCCTACAACAATCTCATATACCTTCCAGATTTGAGCAATTAACTGACCAGTAAAATATCCACCATGCCGTCAGCAATAGCTGACTGACTGAATAGCGAATGTGACGCGGAGTCTCGGCAGCTTCGTATCCTTGCCTCGAGTACGTTGTACGACCGTTGTTAGTTTAATTTTGAGAAGCTTGAGCTCCTTATTTAGATCATCCGAAAACATCTTATCACCTTTGTCTTGTAAACTGAGGAATATATCAAAGCGGTCTCCTAGATTCATGACTATTAAGGGATTAACATGAACTTTGATTGATTTCCTAGGTCTCTGGGTACGTAGCGGTCGTAGTCCTTCTTGTTTTACGGTAGAACAATCTTGGTAGTATATTATACGGTCGAACCACTAAATAATTTCTCCAAGACCCAGGCTTTAAGAACTTTCAATGCTGAAGTTGCTAACGCCATTCATGGGGGTCTATAGATAACTATAGTCGTCTATGGTAGTCATTCTATACACCACAGTTGCATTCGGAAAGGTTAAGCTGGGAGACGAAAGCTTGCCGAGGGAATCTAACATCGTTGATGTTGGTGTGGTGATGAGTTACAATATATCTCAAGTGAAGTTGGCGCCCACCGCTTATTACCTGTGTCCATTACCCACCTGTCATCAGATTTGATGAGTCTATTGTAAGCAGTTGAAGTGAAATCTATGCATATCGCATGAGGCCACCCTGTGCATTTGTGGCATTGCATACCACATATAATGGCAAATCAATGGTCATGTTGCTTACAGGTATTTTAGTGATTATGATGAAGCATAAGTTGTTGAACGAATAGGCATAAAAGGTTTATATCCATTAAAAAAATTGTAAAGACAGGTGGTAAACGTATTAGAAATAATAATAATAACCTCTTATCGCAAGGAACCGTAGATACCGAGTATTTATCCCAGGACCGACCTCAACTAACTGTTAATTCAAAAGATACTCAGAAGGGAAAGTTATCCACTTGGGCCTCTGAGACTATAATTCAAGGACGACCTTTGAGCGCTGTTCAAGTGACCTTAGAGATAAGCGTGTAGTGACCGACTTCTATCAACAGAACGCGACTTTCTTCAGTCTTCAGTAATAAAGATAGTACGTTGGTGAACCTATGTTAATCTTGACAGATTGCCTTCCAGTGATGGTCCAGCTTCTCCTTGAAAGTATTCACTGATGCGGCTGATACCACTTGTTCGGGTAAGGCGTTCCAATGACTGACTACTCGATGAGAAAAACGGGATCCCACTTTAAGTTTATTAGATCGTGGTTTATGAACCTTCTCGCTATGACCTCGGAGATTATTAGTGCTGGAGGGAGCAAAAAGATAAGACATATTAACACCCAAATCGTAATTAAATATACGAAATGCCAGTATAAGGTCACCTCGTGTCCTACGATACGACAAGGGAAAAGGTCTAGGCGTTTTAAACGTTCATTGTAAGGGAGTCTAGAAAGACCCTTCACTAATTTCGTTCCCACACTCTGGATACGCTCAAGGGAGTTAGTATCCTTTACCAGACACGGGTTAGCTGCTTGGATACAGTACTCTAAATGTAGTCTAACATATATGGGATATAAAATTCGAAACGTTTCCTCGTCAAAAGATTTGAACGCTCGGCGAAGTGACCATAACGCTCGAAAACCTTTGACAGCGGTTGCTTTGCAATGCGTAGTTGTTTTTAAATCATGACTTAATACTACTCCTAAGTCTTTATGTTCTTAAATGCACGGAAGAGGTTTACCCTCAATAGTATAACGGTAACTATTACCGTGACCGATGTGCATTAGTACACTCTTCCTAGCATTGATTTCTCAGCCCCACTCTCGAGCCCATCTAACTAAATCGTCTAAGTCAGCTTGAAGATCCAGATGATCAGCCGCACTTTTTATTGTTCACCAGATTTTTACATCATCCGCGAACAATAATGTCGACGACCTAAGTAACAACGGTAACTTATTAACGTAGAGAAGGAAGAGCAGAGGGCCTAAGATGGTGCCTTGGGGTACACCACTTTTGACCGGCTTCCAATCGGATAGCGTTCCGTTGACCCTAACTCTCTGTCTGCGGTCACATAAGAAATTTCCTATCCACTCATGTACAGTACCTATTATTCCGAAGCTCGTAAGCTTCTGCATAAGACCTACATGTGAAACCTTGTCAAATGCCTTGCTAAAATCTATGAATATCACATCGGCAGACAGACCGTTATCTAGAGCTGCTGTCCAATCCTCCCTCGCAATAAGCGAGTTAGTCAAGCATAAACGCTTGTTACGAAAACCGTGTTGCTCAGGAGCTAACAGATTGTGTAAATTTATGTGGTTTAGCAACCTAACCCAAATGATCTTTTTAAGTAACTTAACGACTATGCTAGTTAGACTGACAGGCCAGTAGTTAGATACTATCTGTCGCTGACTGTCCTTAAATATAGGACTGACTATAGTGTCCTTCCAATCTCTAGGGAGTTGAGCGAGTGAGAGGGACATGTTGAAGAGTGACGCAAGCGGTTTTGAAATAATGTCCACAAGAGATGACAGTAACCGTGGATGTAACCCGTCAGGGCCCGATGTCTTACCAGGTTTGAGGTTAGTTATCAACGGAAGGACAGTTTCCTCAGTCACCTGTACAGATTCAATGGTTGGTATCTCGGTGTGAGTGGGACAAGTATTTGTTACAATAAACGTAGAGAAGACTTCGCTAAAATAGTTTGAAAAAGTCTCGATCTGATTCAGCTAGCAAATCTGAATTTTCGTGTAACAGTAACAGGGGAATTCCATCACTACGTTTCATTTGCCGTTTAACATACGAAAACAATCGTTTCGGACAAGTACGGCTATCATATACTAACTGTCGTTCGTAAGTGGTACGGGATTTGGCTATGGTTTTCTTACAGATATTACGGAATTTTCGGTACTCACGCTTAAATGGTGCATGACTTGTCAACAAGAATAAGTCCCAGAAATGTTTCCCACGCTTTAACAGCTTCCGGGTTTCCTTATTAATCCATGGAGCGCAGTGTGATAGCTTATGTGCTGACCATGGAATAGACAGCGACGTTACGGACTCGAATGTAGCCTTAAACTTATTCCATTCATCTTCGATCAATCCATCCGCGTCGACCGACCAATCGGTCAAGATAGCACGGTTTCTGATTTCCGGAATATTAGCTCGCCAGATATTGGGACGGGGTGGAGCAGATACGAATTGTATACCATGCGTCCTAAACTTAAAGTGAATTACAACGTGATCACTGTTCACTAGTGGAGGAAGGTGCTGGATATCAAAGACATCCTCAGAGTGGTGGGTGAGGGCGAGGTCCAGCAATGACGGAACATGTTGCAAATCCATATGTGTCGGTTTTGTGATACATTGTACAAGTGCACACTGAATAATGGTTGATAAAATGTCGCTATCGAAACCACTACCTGGAGCTGTAAGCTCTATCCA